AAAGGAAAAATGAATATAAGAAACACATCAAAAGCATCAGTTTCAAACCTGGTCCGTTCTCCTCGCTTGATTCGAAGAGTAGTTGAAGCCCAAGACAAATACCTAAAAAAGGGCGATCATTCTCAATATAACTGCAGAGTGCTTCAGCCATGCTGCAAAACATCACACATACTCCAAAACGTTAAATGCAGCTTAAAACTTTCAATTTGCACCTTCAACCCATTCTGGATAGTTTGTTTCAGTAGTAAAAAGCTTATGCACACGTGAGTGTTAAAAATAAAGGAGGCAAAGAATCAGTTACCCTTTACTGTTTAGCACATCCATGGCAGGAGCAAATGCCCCAACTCCAGGAAATATTAGGCGTTTTGCATTTAGAATGTCTTCTGGAGTTTGCACCTAAAAATCAGCTTTCATGCGTCAAGTTGTTGCTAGATGTTTACCCGAAAAATCGCCATAATCAATGGTATGAGGCATACTAACTACTCAATCATTAAACAAGAAATTACAACACTGAAATAAAAAATTATGGAATCAGTGTAAGATTGTCAATAAATCATAAATCTTGATCAAATGCCAAAAAGGTATTCACAGTTCTGCAAGACATTACTATAAGATAACAAAAGCAATACTCTTCAGTTCAAAGCATAAAATCCTGCAAGTTCAATCATTAGCTCTCCCAGTATCCTACTACAGCGTGAAATCCATTCAAGGACGAAAATAAGAAAAGAGAATCTCACATCTTTGATGTCGAAGCCAAGGTAACGAATTGCATTCCTCACACTACGAACATTACCAGCACCATAATCCAGCAAAGTTACAACTAGAGTAACAAGTACAAGAAAATTACGAAGTCGCATTTGAAATGAACAACAAATTGATTGGCAGACAGAGAGAAAAGAGAGTACCTGAATCACCACTCAATGAGGCACGAACTGCGAACTTACCGGAGGACTTAACTTTAAGATGACGAGTTTTGTAATGATTATTGCGAAGAAAAAAGAGAGAACTCGTATGAGCCGAGGATGAAAGTGACCGAAATACAGTCCGAGAAGAAGAGGAAGAAGAAGAAACAGCGATGGAGAACGGCGGCGCTTCCATTACAATCTCCGGAACTCAAACGGTGAAGCCTGGACGGAGATTTCTAGCTTGGAATCGGCAATTGCTAGAAGAAGAAAGCTCCGGTGTAGCGGCGTTCGACTGAAAATGGCGAAAGAAGCTCCGTGGTGATTAACACAGAAAATTAATACAAATTAAATTCTAAACACAATTAAAAAACAAAATTTCTAATTTTATTTTCTTTATAATTAAATTATGTTAATTACTAAAATTCCTTTTAATATTTTTAATCAATTAAAAATGTATTAAAATCCAATATATAAATTTGAAAATAAAATAAAAGATTACTATAGGAAGCTTACTTTATATTATTTTATTAAATACTAATTAATTTTATTCGATATTATTAAATTTTACCAATATATTTTTTTAAATAGAAGACCAATTATAAAGAGAAAGATCAAGAAATTGTTCAATTTTATTGTAATATTATTTTTTATTAATAAATATTTTTCTTTTTTATTAATTTTAGCTGAAAATGAAAATGGCGAATTTAGTTTTGGTAACAATTTAAGCTTATATTTATTTTGGACTATTTATTGTAATTTACCTTCCAAAAATAAAAAAGAAAATACTTTTAAACATTTAACAAAATTTCTAATTTTTTAATATTTACGAATAATTTTTTTTTAAAATATTTAGTATGCAAAGTTATAAAAATAGTTGAGGTATAATATATTTCTATTTAATATGTTTTACTACTATAAATCTTTAATATAACTATTAATTTTGATGATAAAATTAATTTTTTTAACCCTTTTAAAAATTTAAAATTTTAATAATTCTAGTCAACCGACCCAAATTTAAAGCAAAATATAGAGTGATTCTCGAGATATGATACCAAAATAAGAGTTACTATATATATATATATATATATTAATAAAACAGTTTTCCTTTTCAGTGGCTCAATCAACTTTAAGCAATTCTATATTGGGAGATTTCTTAAGAATTTTATGCATGTGAGTGAAGACAAAATATGCTCGAAAAACTCGTGTTGGGTCACAAATATTAGTAAATTAGCCAATGTGGGACTCACTTCCAACAATCCTCAACTATCATCCCCTTAATCGAGGCTCGACTCCTTTCTCTGGAGCTCTCGAACGTACACCACACTTTAGAGGCTCACCATCTTTGTTCGATATTTGAACATTCTATTGTAATGGCTACGTTTAGGACATGGCTCTGATAACATGTTAGGAATCACAAATCTCCACCATGGTATGATATTGTCCACTTTGAGCGTAAACTCTCATGGCTTTGCTTTGGGCTTCCTAAAAGACTTCGTACCAATAAAGATATATCCCTTTACTTATAAACCCATGATCATTCTCTAAATTAGCCAACGTATAACTCACTTCCAACGATCCTCAACAAAAAACGAGATCATCTATTTTTTTAATTGTTATTATTTTTTTTAAAGTTAAAGAATATTAATGAAAATTTTTTAACACTAAAACCAACTGAAAAAGTTTAAGGGTATTTTTGAAACAATGTATGGTACGAATAATTTGTTTAGACAAAATACAGAATTTATGGATATTTTTATTAATTTAGACAAATAATAAATTTAAGGACGACCATTTTAGGGAGAAATAAAATGAAATCAATTTGTTATTAAAAGAGTGAGATCCCGAGTAGATTAGAGAGGGGAACGAAACATTCGTCCACATAGGTTGGAGAGGGGAACAAAACGTTTCTTATAATAAGGTGAAAACCTCTTCCTAGTAGACACGTTTTAAAACTGTGAGGCTAGCGACAATATGTAACGGATCAAAGCGGACAATATCTGCTAGCTATGAGTTTGGGCTGTTACAAATGGTATTAGAGTTAGTCACAAGACGGAATGTCAGCGAGGACAATGTGGGCCCAAGGGGATGGATTGTTAGATCCCACATCAGTTAGAGAGAGAAACAAAACATCCTTTATAAGGACACTCAAGAGGACGTTGGCCTCTAAGAGAGTAGATTGTGAGATCCCATATTGGTTGGAGAGAGAAATGAAGCATTACTTATAACGACGAGCTCCAAAACATTCCTTATAAGAATAGACTAACTAATAAATCAAAATGGACAATATCGACCAAGGTGAGTTTGGACAACGAAACATTCCTTATAAGAACGTTGGCCCCGAAACATTCCCTATAAGTGTAGGCTAACGATAATACGTAACGGATCAAAACGAACAATATTGAGGGACAGTCAATTAGAACTAAATATTAAAACACATAAATCCTTTATTAAATGATTATCGAAGACCGAAAACAACCTAGGAAATAAGGGTTGACATTTTATATAGTTAACTCATTTTTAAATTAAAAAAAATATATAAAAACCCATCATTAAAATAATAATAATAATAATTGCAGTCCTCTTTTTAAGATAGCCAATGAATATATTTATTTAATTGGTTCATAGAATCGAGACAAAAAAGTACAAATAAATTCATTGACTTTTTAAAAAGACATTTTTTAAATTAATTTATTTTTTTGGAAAAGTAAAAAAAAAAAGAAAAAAAAAGAGGTAATTTTAATCCAAAGTCAACCCAGCCACTTTTTATTTATTTATTATTATTATTAAACTAACGTAAGAAAGATGATTAATTAAATAACTTATTTATATTGAATTTCAATTTATATTTTCATTTAATGTTGATTATTATCGTTATTAGCATCATTTAGAAATGAGAGATTAAAATTGAACTATCGCTTTTAAAATGATAATTAATATCTTATTTACTAAAATATATATATTAAACATTATTTATTATAAAGGTGTAGAAACCTCTTTGAGTAGACATGTTTTAAAACTGTAAGGCTGACGGTAATATATAACATGGTATTGAGTTTTTTTTTTTAAAAAAAAAAAAATATTATTTTCTAATGTCTGACAAAATTTATTATTTTAAAAATATAAATAGAAATATTTTTTTAAAAGTTAATATAAAAAAATTTAGAATTTGCAATCCCAATTGTTGAGAATTTGAATCTATATTAAAATGGGCATCATAGGTCAAATTGTTAGTACATTAATTTTCATTTTATTTTAGAATTTTGAAACTCCAACTTAATTTGGAGTCAAATCAAACCCCAATATTGACTTTAATACTATTTTTAATTTAGTTTTAAATTATTATAAACCTTTTAAGTCAAAATTTTAAATAATTTTTAAAATTTTTGTCGGTTTAATTATTTTTAATTTTAAATATTATATATATATATATATATATATACATTTATTTATTTATGATTTTTTTTTCACCTCTTTTATGGTTAAAGTGCTTATGGTACAGGTTCTTTTAACCGCTTATGTTCCAATTTTGAGATTCTATGACAGTGGTTGGAGAGGGTAACGAAACATTTATTCACGAAACATTTATTATAAGTATGTGAAAACATTTACGAACCTGTTTTTTAAAACCTTGAAATAAAGCCAAAAGGGAAGGTTCAAATAGGACAATATATATTAGAGGTGGGATGTAGCCAAACACTCGGTGGTGTGCCAACATCCTTGTTGGATTCCGAAGGAAGTAGATTGTGAGATCTCACAGTTACAAATTTATATTTGATTACTCGAAGTTATGTTACGGTTTAAAAATCGTGAGACTGACGACGATATATAACCGTCTAAAGCTTGAGCTATTAAAAGTTTATATTTGATTACCCGAAACTATGTAAAACACAGTTTTTAAATCTTGAAAGTTCACTACTATAAGCACAAGTTGTAATCCAACAATAACTGTTAATGATATATAAAATATTCGCCTTTCGGATATAAATTTCCAATTTCAATTATTTGATTAAGTTAAAAGGTGGAATGAAATATGATTTGAAAGATTAAAGCTTGGTATGATCCATTGGAATTGGCTTAAAAACACTTTTTCTTTGATCAAAACCATGAATCTTTGAGGCAATGAAACAACAGAAGATGAAGATCTTGAGGAAATAAAAGATCAAATTGCATTAATGAAGAACAATTACAATTTTTACCTCCAAATCTCCCAATTTCCATTTCTAATCCTCCTCTCCCATTGTTCATAATACCAGAATCATCATCATATGAACAGAACAATACAGAATTTTCTTCAAATTCCAAGTTCAAAATTTCCAGCTCTTCTTCTTCTTCAACTGTAGCTGAAAAATCTGAGCTCACAGATCCATTTCCATGGCTTCCACCGCCGACGCCATTGTTTCTGATCAAAATCCAATCTCCATCGTCCCCTTCCAAGTCCCAATCGGACGACAAATTACCAGCCAAACTTCTAATCCTCTCAGCCGGACAATCCTCCAACGAAGCTTGATGCGTTACCTTCAATGGAGTCTTTGAATCTTCCATTGAATCCCAAAAGCTTTGATCCAAAACACACCTCGGAGAAGAATTCACCGTTTTCATCCTCGAAGATTCAATTTCCGACTCGGAATCAAATTCCTGAAGAAACGGATGCTCAAGAAGCTGTTTCGCAGTCCATCTTTCTTTCGGGACTTTTATCAAACACTTAGCGACAAAGTCCCTCGCCCACTCCGATAACCACCGTGGAGCCTCCGGCAACTCGCCGGTAAATCCAATCCGATACAACGCCGACACCGGATCTTTTATATCCGCCCACGGATGTTCGCCAGTAGCCATTTCAATGACTGTACATCCAAAAGCCCAAATATCCGCTGGAAACCCCTGTTCTTCACCTCTCGCAACCTCCGGCGCCATAAACGCCGGCGAACCAGAAAAATCCCTAACTCCATTTTCGGAAACTCCATCCACAAATTTCGCACAACCTAGATCGGCGATTTTTAAACCTGCATCGCTCAGTAACAGATTCCGGCTCTTAATATCGCAATGCGCCAATCCATTAGCATGAAGGTACTCCAGTCCTTTCAAAATCTGGCGCGAAAACACTCGGATCGCCGATTCCTCCATCCGGCCGCCGCTGCTCTGAATCGCATCCCACAGCGTCCCCTCCGGAAAATACTCCATGAACAGATTGAACACCGGAATCTTGAAGGTTTCGGTTTCAATGTCGAAACCTAGGCAGTTGATAAGGTATGGAGAGCTCAATTTGGAGAGAAGAGCGTGTTCCTTCTGCAACAACGCTGATGAAGAGAGGTCGGTGGACTTGACGGCGAAGTGGTGGCCGGAGGAGGCGTCTGTGGCCAAATAGACGGTGGCAGATGAGCCGCGGCCGACGGCAGGGCCTCTCGTCCAGACCATGGCTGATATAGAAGGAAACGTAGAAGAAATGAATTTGTGGCGAAGGGAAGAAGAGACTGTGAATTTATATATACAATTTTTCAATGGTAACGAAATAGCATCTTCCAATCTTTTAATGCAAATAAATAAATAACGTAAAAAATATAAATAAATAAACTATGTAAATTATTTTATTTTATTATCTACTCCGTTAATATATATATATATATATATTATTTTTGGAAATAATTTGAAAATTCAACTATAAAAAATAAATTTTTTAAAATTTAGGGTTGAAACGTGCACTCAAAATTAGGGTTTTTGGTATGGACCAACTCGAGAAAATAGTTGGATTAGACTGCTTTCTCTTCCTTTTACATGCCACGTAAATAATCTTAACTCAATTTGAACATAGCTCAAATGTTATTGATCAAAAGGTTAGACTTTGGACTGTGTTGTGTTGTATGTTGTGTGTTGTTAAGCTCCATAAGTAAATAAATAGAGGAAAATATATATATATATATATATATATATATATATATATATAATTTTATTATTTTTTTGTATGGGCGTTCGTGAGTTGGGTTGGGATGGGTTGAAATATCTTTTAGACTCTACCCAACTATTTGGGTTGCCAATTTTTTTAACCAAAATAATCTCTATTAAAAACGAACGTGACTAAACTCAATTATATTTTTTTTTGGGTTGGGTTAAGTTGGTTGTGGTTGGAGTCATTTATTTAAATTTTTATTTTTATTTTCAAATATTTAATTAAAATTTACCGGTTATTTTAAATTTATATATATATTATATATATATATATATATATATATTTATTTAAACAATAATAATTATGAAATTAAATAAAAATATACTTATAAAATTATATTATAAACAAAATTTTATTTTTTAAACTGAACAATAAATTCTCGTTCCGATTTTAGGAGAATCCGTGAGCTAACTCAATCTAAATAAGTTCATAATTTAAACTAAACTATACTGATTGAATTGATCGAATTTTTTAGATCATCCAAATTTTTAAACGCTTACAAAAATACGAAGCTGTAAAGTGGAAGTAATTCCAAATGATTTTGGTGCTTTGCTTGCAGCCCTTTCCATAATACGTAGTGAGAATTGCCTCTTTTCACAAATTGGTTTGGCCCTTAAGTTAAACAAAAAGTTGCATTGAAATGCCAACTAAATCCTCTTATATTATATTCTATTGTAACGCAAAGTCAAAACCCACCGATATCGATTTTTTATAGTTTAAAAGTGTAACCGCCTAAACTTACTACTGGCAGATATTGTCCAACCTAGCTCGTTATGTATGACAGTCAAGCTTCATTCTATTCTTTAACCGACATGAGATCTCACAATTCACCCTCATTTCATACCGTTATATGGAATGCTTCGTTCCATTCTCCAACTGATGTGGGATCTTACAATCCACCCCATTCAAAACCTAACGTCTTCGCTGGCACGCCGCCCGATGTCTGGCTCTAATACCATTTGTAACAGTTGACGCGCTTTACCCTTTTAGGGGCCCAGCGTCCCGGTGTCTGACTTTGATACCATTTGTAACCGTCCAAACCCTCTATCCCTCTTGGGGGCTTAACGTACTCACTGACACATCGCTCGATGTCTAGCTCTAATACCATTTGTAACAGTTGATGCCCTTTACCCTTTTAGGCCCTTCAGGGGCCCAGCATCCCGGTGTCTGACTTTGATACCATTTGTAACAGTCCAAACCCTCTACCCCTCTTGGGGGCTCAATGTACTCACTGGCACACTGTTCGATGTTTGGCTCTAAAACATTGGTAGCAGCCTAAGGCCACCACTAACAGTGGATGTGCGTCTCTCTCTCTCTCTCTCTCTCTCTATATATATATATATATATATTTGAAGTTTCGAGTTTAATAGATGAAGTAGACATCAGCTATCACCAAAGTATCGTCGAAGTACGCTGCATTAGCAATTAACACCCATATCGATAGTCTCGTCCAACCATAAGAACATCATAAATACAATGGCTCGATATATTACCTCGATATCGACATTGAACTCTTTTTACGTGCCGAAAATTGCATTAAAACACAAAAGAACATGAAATCATGCATTGGGTTGGAAGCCTGAACTTATAGAAGTTGAACATGTGGAGGTTATTAGAAGCTACAAAACAAGTGGAACCCCATTTTGCTCCTTTGCCTTTGAAATCACTCACAAAATAAGGCTGTTTCATTGCTGGATAAAGATAAATAAATAAATAATATTATTATTATTAAAAGAAATTGTGGTTCTCAAGGCTTACAACTGTCAAAACGACATAAGTTTAGTTGGTCGGTGTCGTTTCATGTACTAGAAACGAACTATTGTTTTGAGAATCTTATGAGAATGATGTTTTTTTTATTTATTTAATTTTAATTTTAATTTTGAGTTGAGCGAGAGGATCGAAGATTTGAAGTTTCGATTAGTTAGTCGAAAATATTTGTCCTAATTAATTTAATTTTGTTCGGATTGGTTACTCGGTAAAATCTATAAGTATATTAGTGTGAGATTTCATATCGGTTGTAGAAGGGAACGAAACATTTTTACTAGGGTGTGAAAATTTCTCTCTAATAGATGCGTTTTTAACTGTGAGGCTGACGACAATACATAACGGGCTAAACGGACAATATTTACTAGTAGTGGGATTAAGCTGTTACAGATGGTATTAGAGCAAGATGTTGAGCGATGTGTCAGTGAGGACGCTGGGCCTTAGAAGTAGATTGTGAGATCCCACATTGGTTGGAAAAGTGAACAAAGCAGTCATTATAAGGATGTGGAAATCTCTCCCTAATAGACCCGTTTAAAAATCGTGAAGCTAAGAGCCGTAACGAGTCAAAGCAGACAATATTTACTAGTAGTGGCTTGAGCGGTTACAATTAGGAAGAGATAAATAATTTTGTAATTCTTTTTATTTTTAATCTAAAAAAATATTATTTTAGCTCAAATTTTTTTAATTATAAATTTAGTCTCTAAACTTTTAAATATTTATTTATTTAGTCCATAAATTATTGTCGCTCAATAAATTTATGTCTAATAAATATTTAACCTATTTAATAATTAAAAATAATAATACATATTAAATTTAATATATATATATATATATATATATATATATATATAATTTAATTGATTTTTACAAAATTTTAATCTACAGACATATTAAATACAAATTTTTTTTTTCTTATTTTATTATTATTATTATTAATTTTATGGATCTAATCGTAAATCTTTTAAGGTTTAGAAACTTACACAATTCAAAATTGGAAGTTTAAATATTCAGACCGTCTGTAACAGTCTAAAGTCTACCGCTAGTAGATATTGTCTGCTTTAGCCTGTTACGTATCGTTATCAGCCTTACAATTTTAAAACGTGTTTACCAAGGAGAGTTTTTCACACCCTTATAAGAAATATTTCGTTCTACTCTCCAACTAATGTAAGATCTCACCTCGTCAAACCCTAAACCCTAAAAAAAATCGACGCATTGAATATCGTGTAAATATTGAAAGTCCATGCATGAAAGGAAATTGACCATTTTGGTGCATTCCGTTGGAAGTCTTCAACTCTCAAAAGGAAAGAAGGGAACCATATTTTTTGTATATTTGCTTTTGGAAGCACTGACAAAATAAGGCTGCAATGGTTTCTTGATAAAGATGCAAAATAAAAAGGGTCATCTGCATTCGACATCTGATAGCTAAAAAATGGACACGGTATATATTTTTTACTTTATAAGAGTGAATACTATACCTAGAAATCAACACGGGTTCTTCTATGTCACTTATACGTATGTCGGAAAAATTTATAAGTGGTCACCGAACATAGAATTGTTTAAAGTAAGGCACGCTTAACTAAATAATCTTAAAATTAGTGGAAGTTGATGTCGAATTGGGTTCACAAAAATGTTAGTCCTAGAAACGTCACCATTCAACGTCGGAAAAGACATGTTGGAAGACGAGATGTCGTATGTAGTAAACGCTGATTAGTGTCATGATCATTCTTGTCTAAAACGTGTTGTCTGTCACTGCATGTTAGATGTATCGGTCATACTTGTCCAAAACCTGTTGTTCATGGTCATATACCCATTTTAAACCCCTTTTAATTGCTTTCACGTGTAATTAAGTATTTACTATTCATGACATGTATATATGGGAGGAGAGGTGTATGTACGGGTGTACATGGTCCGGGTTGGGAGATTTTTTTGACCTAACCCAAAAGTTTGGGTTGGTTGAATTGGTAACCCAACTCAACCCAACCCTCTATCTTCGGGTTGGGTTGTCGAAATCTTTTTTTAAGTTTTATTTATCTACCATTTATAATTATTCAATACAAATAAAATATATTAAAAGTTCACCAACAAACTCTAAATAAATAAATAAATAAATTCAATAACAAACGTTAAAGTAAGAAAAATAAAAAATAATGATCATGAAATTAAATGAATAATAAAAATGATTAGTTTAAAGATATTATTGTATATAACAAAAATAAAAAATATATAAAAAACCTTTTAATTAAAATAAGATTATTTTAAGAGGTCCTAAACTATTAAAAAAGAAAAATATATATAAATTATGGTATAATAATATTATTACGGATAATAAATAAATTAGAATTTAAAATATGTTTTAAAATTATATATATATTTAAAATTTAGAATAAATAATAAAACTCGAAAATTTTGCCCATAAACCTGAAACCGAACCTTATAGTTCGGGATTGGGTTGGTCCGGGTTGTCGGGTTGAATGTACACTCTAGGTGTATGTCTGTTCATCATGTATACGCCCACCAAAACTAAAGTGCCCCAAGATGTACGGTAGGAGATGTGACTAGTTTGACAATTATCGGACGTGCTATCAAAACTGCGATGGATGCTTATTTACTTCTAACCTGTAATATTGTTTTATTTCAAATGGCTCATGTTTTAGAAAATATATTTTTTCTTTATGCTAAAAGTGATTCGAGGCTCGATCCTATGTTAGAACGGTTCACAAATTTACACGATTGACTTGTTTGCTCAGGCCGAGTCGAGTCACAAACCAACGAGTGAACCCATAAACCTCGGTAAGTAGTAGTACGCGCTTCCTTATCTTAAACCCCCATTCCTTCTCAGGTGAGCCATGAACCAGCACAGTTTCCCCGCCATGAACGCCCTTTCAAGTTCACCTTCCCTCAAATTCCCTCCTTACAAGACCAATCATCTCCTTCTACTACCTCACTCCCGCTCCACGCTTCAATCCATCGCTCTGTCTCGGAAACTAAAATTGAGGATAGTTTGTTCAGCATCCGAACATTCACAACATGCTGAACCAGCGAAGTACCAGCACTCTAAGAAGACGAAAAGCGTCTCGGATGGCGAGAAAGGGGTCGATCCTGTTGGATTTCTCACTAAACTCGGCATTTCTCACAAGCAATTTGCTCATTTCCTCCGTGAAAGGTAGTTTTCTTGGTTTTGTTTCGTCTCATGACAATGAATTTGGAAACTGGAAGCGAATGAGTGTGGAGTGATCATCCATGGAAATTTTGTTTCGAGAATTGAGAAATGTTTCGTTTTATTATAATAATATCGTAAACATGGCTATCTTATTTACTTGTAGATATAAATCGTTGAAGGACCTCAAGGATGAAATTTACGATCGTCATGCGAATCTCCAGGACCTGTCTTCTGGGTTAGTTGAGTTTTTCATTTTCATTTTCATCATTATCTATTACTCTTTCCTTTTTAGTTTAATTTTGTGCTTGGAACTTGGCACAATTGTTATTCCCATTCTCTTTCAGCACGTTCTTGGTTTTTTTGCACACATGAATCTAACGCTTTTGATATTTTGGATATAGATTTATGTTTTTAGGTATGCATCGCCATGTGGAACATCGTGTTGATTTTATGGAATGGGCTCCAGGTTTGGATTCCATGCTTCTGCTTTTCCTGCTCTAGATAATATATGATCGTGGAATATATGTAATGAACATCATGTTGTACATGCAAAGCCATTCAGATTATGTGGGTGACCTGAGTCTTGATTTAACTCAGCTGGTTGCGTTTTGTAATTTGGAGAATTCTCTTGCTAATCAATTTTTTTTTGCTAATCAATTTTTTTTTGTACCATATCAATGTCAGAACATCTGCCCTCTGTTGTGTTCTAGTGAATCTTGGGTGGGAACTTGTAACAGCCTAAACCCACCGCTAGTAGATATTGTCCTTTTTGTGCTTTCCCTTTCGGGCTTCCCCTCAAGGTTTTTAAAACGCGTTTGCTAGAGAGAGGTTTCTACACCCTTGTAAAAAATGCTTTGTTCCCTTCTCCAATTGATGTGGAATCTCATAATCCACCACCCTTCAGGGTCCAGCGTCCTTGTTGGCACTCGTTGCTCTCTCCAATCGATGTGAGATCTCACAATTCACCATTCTTTGGGGCCCAACATCCTTGCTGGCAAACCCCCCGGTGTCCACCTTTTCCCTTACAAATGTATTTATGTGATCACCAAGGTGATGAGTGAGGCCATTCCCCAACTTTTATTTTCAGATTCTAGTTGGGTGTAATCCAGACTTCTGGAGTTTCTTGATTCCTAGTGCATCCATAGCAGCCTTTTTATTTCTGTTTTCAGATTTTCACTGGACATCCTTCTCATGGTCAAATCTAAAAATATTTGATTTAATATGACTATAATTTTGAATGGAAAGTCTGGAGATGTGAATGGAGTTTTGGACTCAGATGGTTTGTTAGTCTCTTCTTGGGCCTCCTTGTCTAATTTATTTTCTGCTCTCTTATCTTAGTAATGCTAACTGGAGTGCATTGATGCTTCTATATTTGTTTGTTATGCTGAAGTCTGGTTAAGTTCTTTGTTGGTTGTTAATCTTCATTTTGCTGCATACCTTGCCTTTGTGGAGATCACCGGTTTTTCTTTCTGCTTGAGAAATACTTCGTTGGACAAGTTCCTCTTTCTGCTCTATTTTATTTCTTCAACCTAACTTAGTTGATCTTGATCTTCAACTTAAACATTGCTTTTATCTTTTCTCTAGGTTGTGAAAGATACAAAATAACAAAAAACACTGTTGAGCTTGAAGTTTCAATTTTAGAAGTGCCAACTATCTTTTTGAAGTCTTAGGGAAACCTAATTTCTATTGGTTTTTGCTTTGCTTTACCACTCATTTTAATAACTAGTTAACTTTTCTTTTTATAGGTGCTCGCTATTGTGCAGTAATTGGTGACTTCAATGATTGGTCACCCAGAGAAAACGTTGCCAGAGAGGGGCATCTTGGCCATGATGATTATGGTTACTGGTTTATCATCCTCGAAGATAGGTTGAAGGAAGGAGAGAAACCAGAGGAACTCTATTTTCAACAGTATAATTACGTGGATGATTATGATAAAGGTGACAGTGGGATCAGCATTGACGAGATCTTCAAAAGAGCGAATGATGAATATTGGGAACCTGGAGAGGACAGGTTCATCAAAAACCGTTTTGAAGTTCCAGCTAAGCTCTATGAAGAATTATTTGGTCCCAATGGTCCTCAAACATTAGAAGAGCTTGAAGAAATACCAGATGCAGAAACAAGATACAAGGCATGGAAAGAACAACATAAAGATGATCCATCTAGTGTTTCATATGACGTGATTGATAATGGGAAGGAGTATGATATTTTTAACGTGGTGATTGATCCCGTAACAAGGGAGAAATTTAAGGTTAAGAAACCTCCTATACCTTACTGGTTAGAAACACGTAAGGGAAGGAAAGCTTGGTTAAAAAAGTATAATCCCACTATTCCACATGGAAGCAAATACAGGGTATATTTCAACACTCCTGATGGGCCATTGGAAAGAATTCCTGCTTGGGCTACTTATGTGCAGCCAGGTAATGAAGGACAAATAATTACTAGGATTCATCTAAGATATTTACGTTACCATCAGTGCTATACTATCCTGAGGCAGTTTTTAGAAAGTTTTGATGTTTTTTTCCATGATAACTGAAGTTCGGTAATTTTATCTTAACTGGTGTATTGGTTAAAAAATTCAGATGCTGAAGGGAAGCAAGGTTTTGCAATCCATTGGGAACCACCACCAGAATATGCATATAAATGGAAAAACACCAGTCCTAATGTACCAAAGGCCTTGAAAATATATGAATGTCATGTGGGAATTAGTGGATCAGAACCGGAAGTTTCTTCTTTCAACTACTTTAGAGAGAAGGTGAGTCTCCTCTGCTTCAACTATATGCATGTGCATTATGATAACCAATATGTTTTTCATTGTTAGAAGCCATACTTTTATGGAGAAAAATGAAAGAATGCAAGAGCATTGAAAAAAGGCCCAACAAAAGGAATCTGTCCCTAACTACAAAAAAGACGCCAATCCAGAAGAACAACCAAGCTCGTAATTACAAAATGCCCTAATGACCAGTAGCTGGCGCCCATAAGGAAGTATTAAACCTGGCTACCTCCCAAAGTTCCTCATATGATCTCTTGGCCGCTCTAAAAATTCTATTGTTCCTCTCAAGCCTAATACCTCACAATATTTAACAAAACTGCAAAGGATCCAGCATGCCACAAAACCTTTTCCGCCTTAGAAGGAGAATTCGGGAGCACCTTCTCCATCAACTATCTACCAATATGTTGATGCAATTGATATTTCAAAAAAATTGTGAAGATGATTTAGAAATATTAGATGTTTGAAATACCACAAAAAAAATCAAATGCTCATTTAATAAAAGAACATTGGATTCGTGTACCATTAGATATACTAATGCTTCTTTTACATGTGAAACACACAGGAATAAACAAATATTATGTTCGTAGACATTAGTTTGTTAAAAACATATGGAAATTTTTTATTAGTGCATTTAAGATTCTGAAATTGTCTAGATTGTGTGATTATCGTGTAAGGAATAGCTAATTAAACTACTTGACTTGTGACAGTTGACGATCTTTTGTTGGAAGCAGGAACTTTTAAAGATATCAAATTTTCAGTTTGAAAATAATCAATAATGTATAAAATGCATTGATTTAAGAGATTATATAATCTCAAATGTGTGAGGGTGTGCGTGTGTGAGGCTATTCATTCCATGAAAAAATATAATTTGCACAAAAGTCTTGGAGTTATAAAAAAAGGTCTCCAACTGGAAACATTAAGGATTATATTTAATACAACATCAGGTTTATATAGCTTGTAGGGTTAACAAATTTGTAACTCAGAACCAGATTAAACATAAGCTCTACTTGTTAACAATGAGTTATACAAACCTAAGACACTCCCTTATGTTTGTCATATTTCTTTATATTGTTTTGTAAGTTTTCTTATAAAAAGACATTGTCAACAGCAAATCATCTAACATTTTAACTTATACTTCGGCTTTCATTTCGTTGTAACATTACTGACGTTGGTCCATATTCACTTTCAACTACGTTTTATCTCCCAGGTTCTTCCACATGTGAAGGAAGCTGGATATAACGCAATCCAACTGTTTGGAGTGGTTGAACATAAAGATTACTTTACACTTGGCTATAGGGTAAGATAGTTATTCTTGCATCTCTGCTGTTATCGAACAATTTAGGGCTTCTACGTTTTTGAACATTCATGTTGGCGACCTTTTGTTTTGGTAAGGTATTGGTCCGTAGAAGTTATATTTTGGTAAGTTATTGGGCTTTGGATATGTTTGGATTTTTTTGCCATCGTCTTTGAAGTACGAATAAAGAAATTTTTTTTCCTGCATATGAAGGGCCGAGTGAGTATTATGCTGCTAATATGATAATGCTATGTGAGATGGACAGAAAGGCAAAGAATTAAGTGGTCGTAGAGGAGGGACAAAGAGAGTGATCAAGAGAGAGATGAAAAGGCAGACAAAGAGTGTGCTAGTTTTTTAATTTCTGATCTGTGTGCTCTCTGTGAGATCTTTTGCTCATTTAAGTTTGTCCCCATTAATGCCGATATAGTGTACTTTTGTTGACCTTGAGTAGGTGGCTCTAAATTGCTGTAGTAAATCATTCCATTATGGTAATTGGCTATTAGTTCGAAATCATGTTTGATTAATCAATGAAGGATTAATCAAACAAAGAAAAGACGATAAAGAAGCTTAAGCTCTAGCAGCTCCCTTTTTATTTTTGTTAAAAAGATGCTTAAATAAATTATGCTTACACAAATTTAGGGGTGAATTGTACTTTAAGATGTCTACAGATCCTGTTTAACTGACTGGTAGACTATGATTGCAAAATTGGTTCTTTTTTCTATTTTTTCTGTAGTGAGGGTGGGTTGAGGGGGAGCAACAGGGGATCAGGCTTTAGCATTGTAAATGATTAAGCATCTTTATGCAGGTTACTAACTTCTTTGCTGTCAGCAGTAGATATGGGACCCCTGAGGACTTCAAGCGCTTGGTTGATGAAGCTCATGGTTATAATTCATCATCTATTACTATTCTTTTCGTTTACTCGCGTTAAATATTTTGTTGGTTCTATTTTCTCTTCGTCTTGTGTTAAATAAAAGGGGTATCATTTTCTTTGCAATTGTATTTGTAAGTGCTTCTTAGCTTACTAGACAGGCTAGATCACGTCAACAACCAAAGTGTTTTCAGATGCTGGTCAAGAGTCCCCTATAAAGCGAACAATTTCCATATCCCTATGTACGAAATGTCCTATCTGCTGTCGAGAGTTTTATATGATATGGAAGAATTTGCATGTACCCAAAACTGGTGTTTTTGGGCTGCTGGTTAAGAGTCCTATACAATGTGGAAAGATATGGTGTGGTCAAGTAAAACTGCCTTTATGATTTAGATTGCAGTCTGGTTAAGTTACTGCATTCTTGAACGTTCATGCAAGATCACTGTCTCTGTTTCTTTTCTTTTTTCCTTTATTATTATGATTATTAATTTTTAAAAAAATTTAGAATGTAAATTTTGCATGCATTCTATTCATTTTTTTTTTTTTTTGTTATTTTAATTGAAGAGAAAGTGAAAGCTTACGTACTTTTAGTTTGCACTTTTATTTATTTTTGGCACAGGCCTTGGACTTCTTGTCTTCTTGGATATTGTTCATTCATATGCTGCTGCTGATGAGATGGTCGGACTATCATCATTTGATGGATCAAATGACTGCTACTTTCATACTGGTATTTTTTGAGCCTTGATTACTCACTTTGTTGGCTAGTAGGCCTTAGCCGTCTGTCAGACTATATTGCCTCTTGATGCCAACGTTGCTTTTAAGTGGCTGGGCACGTGTTCTTATTCAGGGTTGTTAATGGAAAAAATTATTATTAATATTTTAACTTAATTCTTTTAACCTTACCTTTTTTCTTTTGTGATTGGATTTCTAATCCTCTTCTATTCAGATTAATAATTTTCTTATTTATATATTATTTTTCTTTTCTATTCCACCCCCAAGACCTTCTACAAGGAGGCATTCAAAAATGTTGCAAAATTGAAGCTCGGCATAAAATGTTAGATTATTGATATGTCACTATTTATTTGAAACCTACCATTATCCACCAAATTAATTGTGCTCTACCTCCTACTAGGAGCATTTGCTGCTTCTTCAATTGCGGGCTTCCAACTAGTTTGAATTTGTAGGAAATTGGAAAGTTTACAAGATCCTAAATTCAGCACACATTAGCAACAACAGTTTTCTTAATAAAAGCAAAGAAGGAAAGTATAGAAACGATCATATAGGTTCACCCTGGTGTATTGTTTGCATATTCTTTAGACTATCATAAGGATGAAGGTTAACTTGAGATGAAGAATATAAAATACATGCCTTCACAAGAATATGTCTCTGCAAAAATCATTCGAAGGAGCTCTAAAGTTCTTATAATATGCTCACAACTAGCCTTTCTGACCTTTTCCAACACTCTTATGTTTCCCCAACAAGTATTCAAGAAACATATATGAAAGATGCAATTTATAGCCTTATATCACACTTGTGCTGCAACGCAAAGCGTTGTTATGCTTTAGAACTCAAGGTCGCAGCCCATAGAACACATCCTGTTCAAGTAGTACTACAAGGTCTTTTCTTATATAAGCCGAGTATAAAACCTTGTGTGGGTCTTGCACCATTATCTGTCAGAGGTGTGAACATCTGTGCTTCTTTTTTGGCATTGTAGTACGAAGCCTTGTGGTTAAATGCTCTTTTTTTAATCAAGTATATTTCTTCTTGGCTTACCCATTTGTAAAGTCTTTCTGAACTTAGTTACTCTTCAAGTTTTTGCTTGAACAGGTAAAAGAGGGCATCACAAATATTGGGGAACAAGGATGTTTAAATACGGGGATCAAGATGTGTTGCATTTTCTTCTCTCAAATCTTAACTGGTAATGTACAAAACAAACCTCAAGGCTATTTTCCTGTTATAATTGAAAGTGATATTCATTCGTTTCCCCCTTTTTGGTATTGTTCATCGCCTTTCCTTTTTGTTTACAATATTTTAAAGTGAGTTTTGATCCTCTGTTGCAAGAACATGTTCTTAAATAGAATCCTATAGGGAACGATGAGAAACCTTTTCCCACTCATACAAGCCACAAAGAATGAACTTTTATTGGTCTCGTTATTATTTTTATTTGTTCAATAAGAAATGAAATATTCATTCCACGATAGAAGAAAAAAATAAAAGACAACTGAGTTATAAGAAGGGTCTCCATGTAGCTGTCACAATAGTGAGTGAATAATTACAGTCTAGATGGAAAGGACCAAAATTTTATATGCCCCTTTTTCTTTATACATCCTTGTACTTATCATGTTGATCGAAATGGGTTACATCTGGCTTGGAGTACAATTGTTTCTCCATGATTGAGGAGATTCTCTTTTCTTTTCCTTTTTGTGAGAAAGGCTGTGTGCTATGGCATACGAGTTTTTTTTTTGCTATTGTTTGGGGTATTTGACTAGAGAGGAATAACAAGACTTTTAGGGAGGTTGAGAGATCCAATGAAGAGGTCTAGGAGGGGGCTTGGTTTAATGCCTCATTGGGGGTTAGTTTCTTTTGTAATTGTGATCTTGGATTGATTTAGTTGGATTGGAGCCCCTTTTTAGCTAGTTTGGGGCTCCCTTCGTTTTTTTGTCTACTATTTTTTTTTTATATTCTCCTTTTCTTTTATTGTTTCTTAATGAAAGCTCGGTTTCTTTTATACAGAAATATATTGAAATGAAATTTATGTTCAACTTCTGTTTTGTATGCAATAGTTGTTTGACATTATGTTTTCTTTCTATTGTATATGAAGCGCGTGCTTTTGTTTATTGGTATGGTCATGTTAACTAGTTAGCATGGACCTTCTACATATGTAATTATTAATCCGCATGTAGGTTTATCTTTTAACAGGTGGGTTGTGGAGTATCGTATTGATGGTTTCCGTTTTCATTCACTCTCTTCAATGATCTATACTCACAATGGGTTTGCTTCTTTTACCGGAGACATGGAAGAGTAAGGCATCTACTGGAACTAGTAATCTTACATACACGCAACTGCTCTGTTATCCTTCTGCATTTTTTTTTAATACAATTTGAAACTAAAACTTTAATTCGGAAAGGAAAGCAATAATACTGATAACTTGGAAAATAGCTCTAGATGGATCTTTATTTGTTTGATTCAAACCATGTTTATTGTCTCATTATAACATATGAACCAGAGATCTTCTCTCAATTATCCTTGTTAACTGCTTTTAATAAAAGTTATTCCAACTGCACGGAAAGTTTGTGTGTATCTTCAGCTTAACGTTAGTATTTTGGTTTCTGATTTATGCTATCCTTGTGGTAATTGAAACCCAACCCTGTTTGTTCACAGGTTCTGCAATCAATATGTAGACAAGGATGCGTTGCTATACCTCATGCTGGCAAATGAGATACTTCATGGTCTTCATCCTAATATAATAACGATTGCTGAAGATGTAAACAATTGCTAATTTATTTGCTTTTTATATAATTTTATCATACCTATACTTGAAAACCCTTTTATTCTACACTTTGTAGTTAAAGTTAGAGGTTGGATTAATACCTTGTTTTGGCTTGGTAAATGGTTAATCGATGGTCTCTAGCTGATTAATTCTTTAGACTCTTCGTGCTGATTAATTCTTTAGACTCTTGGCTAGGATATTTACTTTTAGGCATTATATACATTCTAGCTTTCTAAAAATTCTTATTTGTCAGGCAACGTATTATCCTGGACTATGTGAGCCGACCTCTCAAGGTGGACTGGGTTTTGATTATTATGTGAATCTTTCCGCATCCGAGATGTGGTCGTCCTTCCTTCAGAATGTTCCAGACCAAGAATGGAGCATGAATAAGGTTGTTTCTATACTTTGTGAACCTGTTTGAATCACTTAGAGGGTTTTCCATTTATTAAGGGGAGAGAATTGCATCATGCAGATTGTTAGCTCATTAATTGACAACAGACACTACGTGAACAAGATGCTCCTGTATGCTGAAAACCACAGCCAAGTAATTTTCTTCTCAACCTTTTTAAATTAACGATGATCCGTACCTTAATGAATTTTAAGCATGGGTTTTTCATGCTTGGTTGCGTATCTTCCTGATCTTTTTCATTGTTTCTTTATTCTTTTAGTCCATCTCTGGTGGACGTTCGTATGCTGAGATTCTGTTTGGTGATACCAAGGAGCATGGTTCTGGATCAAAGGAAACACTGCTCAGGGGGTGTTCCTTACACAAAGTATGATTCATCTATTGAAGTAAAATTATTCATTTAACATCTTAGACAATAAATGTTCTAGTTTGCATAAAATTCTTGTAGCTTCAGAAACAGTTGCAATTTCACGATTTTACCGGTTTCAAATGTTTTTTAGTTAGCCAATAATAGGGAATTAGAACGTAGATCAAATGATATGTTGACCGAACAACATTTCAACTAATCACTTTCGGTTTTTACATTAACTACATTATAATCTTTTATTACGAAAACTCTCAAAGCCTGTTAAAAAAGAACGGTCTATCCAAGGTCCATATCGTGTGTCTATGCCCATTTTCAATGTATATTAGCTTACATTCAAATGCATAGGGTGAACTAGTTACTGCAGAAAGAGTTCTACGTTCTATTCCTTTCTGTCCTTACATTCAAATGCATAGCATAAGTTCTATCTCTGTAATTTTTCTTTTGATGGCCTTGAATCTGAATCAGATGATTAGATTTATCACATTTACTATGGGCGGACGAGCATATCTGAACTTTATGGGAAACGAGTTTGGGCACCCGAAGGTCAGGTTCTATCTCTTCAATATGCATGAAGATGTATAATATTTGTAATGTTTGTCTCCTGTCAAAATATATGTGTAATATTTGTCTATGTATCAGAGAGTTGAGTTCCCGATGCCAAGCAACAACCTCTCGTTTTCACTTGCCAACCGACAGTGGGATCTTTTAGAAAAGGAAATGCATCGTGATTTGTTCGTCTTTGACAAGGTGTTCAGCTATTTTTCAATATCATCAATTTTGAAAACTTTGTTATGCAACTTGAAGTGAAGTAAATGTTTTTGAGATCAAGTCCCACAACTATTTTTCAACTCCGGAAAGTGACTCTAGTTCAAGAAAATGAAACTAAAATCATAATTGTAAAAAATATTATTGAACGTTGCTTAAAAGGAGACATCCTCACCACCTTCCAAACCTCATCACATGATGTTTAACTTAATTTAATAAAAAATGAGTTTCTATTGATCTAATTCAATTGTGCTAATTTACTTTCTTCTTTCTAGGACCTGATGGGATTGGATGAAAATGAAAAACTACGAACAAGAAGTTTACCAAATGTTCACCATGTCAATGAAGCTACCAAAGTAAGATTTATCCTTTTCCTTTCTTTTTTAGTTCATTTTATCTACGGACGCTTACACGTTTGGTTCTTGCTTATCTAACGCACCCTTAAGAATGCAGATAAATGTAATTCTTGGGTGGAACATCTTGATATAGTGTTCAGTGTGAATCAATACATTATTTTTAACCTTTTCAGGTAATATCTTATATTCGAGGTCCCTTCCTCTTCATATGCAACTTCCATCCCACAGATTCTTACGAAAGCTACAGTGTTGGTGTGGAAGAAGCTGGAGAATATCGAGTAAGTACTACTTTGCTACCAAGTTATATTTTTCTGAAACTTCTTAGTATTACTTGGATTTTGTTCAATAACGATTATCTTTCGTCTTAAAATTGTTTTTTCACTTTTATAAAACATTTTTAGAATGTACACAATTTAAACTAATAACTCAAACCATTTTAAAAGCAAGTTATAATTTTAAAATAGATTAGAAAATAAAGAACCTAAGAATAGCTCAATTGTTAAATCATATACCCTCGATCTGATAAGAGGTTCTGTGAGATCCCACATCAGTTGGGGAGGAGAACGATGCATTCTGATGAGGGTGTGGAAACCTCTCCATAGTAGATGCGTTTTAAAAGCCTTGAAAAGAAGCCCGAAAGGGAAAGTCCAAAGAGGATAATATCTGCTAGCAGTGGGTTTGGGTTGTTACAGTTGGTATTAGAGTCTGACACCGGGCGGTGTGCTAGCGAGAACATAGAGGGTGGACATTGGGTGGTGTGCCAGCGAGGACACTGGGCCCAAAGGGGGGTGGATTGTGAGATTCCACATTGGTTGGGGAGGAGAACGAAACATTCTTTATAAGGGTGTGGAAACCTCTCTCTAGTAGACGCATTTAAAAACCTTAAGGGAAAACCCCAAAGAGGACAATATATGCTCGCAGTGGCCTTGGGCTGTTACAGGTTCGAATCTCTCCCCTACATGTTGTGTGGCTGGACTTTAATAAACAGGTATAGGGAACTTGAATTTAAAGTTATTATCAAAGGGGGTGTGACCTTTTGCTTATTATCTAGCACCCATGTATACACATTGTCACTCCATGAACTTTATACAAATAGGCAAATTTTAGCCTTTAAACAAAAGTCTTCCAGTCCTCATATTAACCATAATTTGGTTTTTGTGCTCATTTTCAAACACCCAAAAAATGGACTAAAGTCTGATATTTTAATGTGCACAGATTATATTAAATACCGATGAGACTAAATATGGAGGTCAAGGGATTATAAAGCATGATCAATATCTTCAACGAACAATAAGCCGAAGGTAACGGTTTTCGACTTTCTTGAAGACTTCCTTCGTTCTCCTGTAATTCATTTTGAGATTACTTTTCACCATATATCATCATGTGATCTTCATGTTTCCAGAATTGATGGCCTCCGAAACTGCCTAGAAGTGCCGTTGCCTTGCAGAACTGCACAGGTTCGTTAAATTTGTGGATGTTGTGTTGTTTTTCGGATATGGTTTTTTGTTTCTCGTTTCCTCTTTGTCGAAAAAAATAGAAACATGTTTGGAAACCATTTCTTGTTTCTTGTTTTTTGGAATTCTGAATAAAAAAGAATGATTGATTCATCACGTTATGATAGGCAAACGAAAGAAAATGAAGTAGATAACTTAAAATATTAGAATAACGTGCGTATGTTACATATGGCACTCTACTTGTTCTTTATTTTTTTCTGTTATTTATCCGTTAACATAACATATAATCACGGTTGAAAGTTCAAGAACATAATTGAAACTTGTTAAAGTTCGGTGACTAATATACACGACCACTAGACTTCATTTATGCTTGAAAATGATGCAAAGGAACTGATATTACACTTTCTTAAGATAGATACTCTGCACACACTCGTTAATTTTCGAACTAAATTCATTTTCCATGTATACTCACCCGATCTCTCTCGCTCGCTCGCTCGTGCAGGTCTACAAACTAAGTCGAATATTGAGAATATAAGCCGTTTTGAACCCATTTGGAAGAAATTAGACAGAAGTTTGCCAAAGTTGCTAATATGTGTCTGCTAGAAAGGCATGCCCAATAGAGCCTGATTTTCCAGTGGTGAGGTAATTTGTTGAATCAAAGCCTATTAGAACAGCTGATGTTCAATGTATTTATGAGATGAAATCACTTGATCTTTGCAGGTTTCATTTCCTATTTTCACCACTCATAGAATTTTGACTGTGGCTCTTTTGTAAACCGCCACGGTAAATTTGTATATTAAGTTGATCATGAGTAAGTATTCACTTTATACTCGGTCCGTTTATTTCTTACCTAAATTTTAAATTTGTAAGATCCCGGTTGTTGAGGGGAGCGAAACATTTCTTATAATGGTGTAGAAATCTCTCCTTATTAGACGTGTTTTAAAACTGCGAGGCTGATGACAATACATAACAGGCCAAAATAGACAATATCTAGTAGTAGTGAATTTGGGCTGTTACAAATGGTAATAGAACTAGACATCCGGTGTGTCAGGGAGGACGCTAGGCCCCTAAGGGGTGGATTGTGAGATCCCACATCAATTGGAGAGTGGAACGAAATATTCCTTTAAGGGTGTAAATACATCATAAAAACGTTAGGTTGACGGATATTCGTAACGGGTCAAAGTGGACAATATCTATCCGCGCTGAGCTTAAGTTGTCACAACACTTGAATAAATATTCGTAATTATGGTACTCTTTGAAATTTAAAAATGTTAAATTGGAAAAAAATGTTATCAATGGAGTTTTAATTATTGAAAGATTAATTTAATTGAATATTGTTATTAATATTATTGCAAGTTGGATTTTTTGTTACCAAATTTTAGTTTTTTTTTATTTGCTTCATTTTCTAACTAAATTATGAGACAATTATATTATAAATTAAGATTTGTATTAACGATTTTAAATGATTCATTTATAATATTGATAATAATAACCATTATTCTATATTATCAAAAAAAATTATTAATAAAATAGGATAATTAAATGGACAATGTATATATTAATTCAAAATGTAAATTTAAATATCAAACATTTTAACCCAATAAAAAATATTATTAAATTATTTATAAAATGAGGTGACATAAACTTTAAATCAATTTTACAAGTGAATAATTTAATAAATTATCATAGTAATCATTAATTTAATATTTTTTTTAATTATTGTTTGAAAATTAGCATAATATATTAAGGGTATTTTTTTTAGTTTTTTATTTTAATTTTTTAATTTTCTAATTTTTTTTAATTAAGAGTTTTATTAAAAAAAATTCATTTTTGAAATATTTTTTAAAGTTATATTTTTAAAACCCTTAAAAAAAAAATTAAGGGTATTTTTTGTTTTTTTTTTTTTGGAGTTCAATAAATATAGAGTAGTCAACACAAGTCACCACGTTTAGCTACTTTAGTTGCTTTGGCTAGTTACTCGAGATTTCCAATTATCCCATTTTTTAATGTTAGCAATGTATAACGGTCGAATAGGATCATTTTTTGCTCGAGACCTTTTACTATTTATCATTAGTGGAAGTTAGAATTAATTCCCGTATATCTACTTCTATCGATGTGAGGAGGAAAGAAACCGTTAACCTTACTATTTTTTATCATGTGGGAGTTAGAATTAATTGTCGTTTATCTACTTCTATCAATGTGGGGAGGAAAGAAATGGTTGTATTCAACTACAAAGTTTATTTTGTACACCCGAGAGGTTCTATTTTTTTTTCGTTGATGGGAGTTATGGGTATCGGTTTATATGGTTCTAACAAACCAGCTTTGAATTTTGAAACATCGGCTAATCAGTCTTATCCTGTAGTGTTGTAAGTAATATTCTATATCGGATTTCTTATTCCTTTTGCCGTGAAATCACCGATTAGTTCATTTTCTTGAGATCGGAAGTTTAAATCCGAGATAGGAAAGATTTAAATATATATGTGTGTGTATACACTCCGTCTAGGCCTAGAAATCGACGCCCTCTCCGCTGCTAAAGAGAGTTCCTTTTCTTCCCTTCGCCGGCGTGAAATCGGAGGAGTCTTGTTGAGACTTGAAGGTTTTTGATCGTCGAAAATGTCGAATCTTCCCCAATCGCACTCCATGAATGCTGCGTTTGGAGGTCCTGGTATCGGTTCGTCGATCCCCAGTGCCTCCGGAGCTGCACCGAACAAGGAGCGAAAAATGGCTTCTTCGGAGCAACTAGTGCTCGACCTCAGCAACCCGGAACTCCGGGAGAACGCTCTCCTTGAACTGTCGAAGGTAAGATTCCTTGACCTTTAAGCGACCAGAGAGAGGAGGAGGAGGAGAGTGTTGAGGATTGGTGTTTTTTCTTGTTTTGGTGTGATGGTTGTGATAATTAGGGATTGCGGCTGAAAGGATTTGTGTTGGTGTTAGAGAATTTGTAGGTTTTGTTTGGCATGTCAGGAATTTGTAACTTGCTGTGGCTGAGAGGAATTTTCGCGATCGGTTGTGTTTATTTGAAATGAAATTATGTTCTTATTGCTGTATAGTTCATAGCAGCTAGGTTGAATGTTGTTTTGATCCTTGCATGTTTAGTGCTACTTTTGTTAATTGTTTTGTATAGAATAGACTGAAATTTTCGCGAACGTCAGGAATTGTTTTGTTAATTGACTATTTTTAGCTCAAGCTAATTACGTAGCCTTCTTCTTCTTCTTCCACTTTTCTCTCAACTTCTTGCTGCAATTTTTTTTCTATTGCGCTTCGGTTGGAGGGGAACGATCCGGCTTCTGTAGAAGGGGAACGATCCATCCCCCTTCTGTAGAAGGGAACTTATGACATGCAATGAAACAATCCATCCCCCTTCGGTCGAAGGGGAACGATCCATCCCCCTTCGGTAGAAGGGAACTTATGACATGCAACTGAAACAATCCATCCTGCTTCGGTAGAAGGGGGAACGATCCTGCGCCGGTAGAGGGGGAACGATCCCAATCCCGCGCCGGTAGAAGGGAACTTATGACATGCAAGGGGAACGATCCCAATCCCGCGCCGGTAGAAGGGAACTTATGACATGCAACTGAAACAAGTGCTTACGAATGGGAAAAGGGACAGTAGAAGGGAACTGATGACATGCAACTGAAATGCAAATGAGAAAAGGGGTGGTTAAACGATCCCGTGCCGGTAGAGGGGGAACGATCCCGCGCCGGTAGAGGGGGAACGATCCCGCGCCGGTAGAGGGGGAACGATCCCGCGCCGGTAGTAGGGAACTTATGACATGCAACTGAAACAAGTTCTTACAAATGGGGAAAGGGACGGTAGAAGGGAACTGATGACATGCAACTGAAATGCAAATGAGAAAAGGGGTGTTTTCAGAGCAATCTGTCTTTCCCCGGACCCTACGACTAAGAAAGATGTTCACCTCTTAAAATATCCCATATACGTAGGCGTGAACCGTGGAAGGGGTCAGATTTATCCCAATGGGACAAAGCATTGGTAGGGTGAAACTTCTCCCTAGCACGCTTGGGATAGGCCCAAAAGAAAACCCCAAAGAGGACAATATCTGTTGATTCTTTGTTAGCGTTCATCATATGGGAATTCTTTTGGTATTGTATGTGCAGTTAACCAAGTATATCTGATACCCTAATTTGCTTCTGTTCTTATTTTTCAGAAGAGGGAACTGTTTCAAGATTTGGCTCCACTGTTATGGAACTCCTTTGGAACCATTGCTGCCTTGTTGCAAGTATGCTGCTTTAATTCTCAAACATACTATGAATTGTCTATAATTCACTCCTAATCTTGTTTGATTTTGTGTTTGTTTGTTTGTTTGTTTTGGGGTGGAACAGGAAATTGTATCAATATATCCTGTTCTGTCTCCCCCTAATCTGACCCCGGCGCAGTCGAATAGAGTTTGCAATGCTCTTGCTCTTCTTCAGGTCACTCCTTGTCGAACTTGTTACATCATGGAATCAAATTACATATGATTTTGTGCTCACTAGTTACACAATATCTTGTTGATCTGAAACTATAACTTATGCAGTCTATATCACTTTTTGTATGTTTTTTTTTGCAGTGTGTAGCTTCACACCCAGATACAAGGATGTTGTTTCTGAACGGTAATGTTGTTGATCTTGTTAATGTTTGAACACTTTTGCTTGAGACTTTGTTCAAGACACAATCTAACATACTAAATGAAGTGGGCTTGTCGGAAATTTACACTAATTAGTTTGTGTGGAGGAAGCAATGAAACTAGCCATGTGGATCCCAAACACTTTGAAAGACTCTCCATCTCATTTTTTATGAAAGAATACTAGAACATAAAATAGAAAGCCACAAAAAGGAGGTAACGTGTAATAGCCTAACCCCACCGTTAGCCGATATTGTCTGGTTTTAAAAAGCGTCTGTTAGGAGAGGTTTTCATATCAGGTCAACCTAAAACCCGTTTGTTAGGGAGAGGTTTTCATACTGAGTCAACCTAAAATGCGTATGTTAGGAAGAGGTTTCCATATCAGGTCAACCTAAAACACGTCTGTTAAGGAGAGGTTTCTATACCGGGTCAGCCTAAAATGCGTCTGTTAGGGAGAGGTTTCCATACCGGGTCAGCTTAAAACGCGTTTGTTAGGGAGAGGTTTTCATACCAGGTCAGTCTAAAGCACGTTTGTTAAGGAGAGGTTTCCACACCCTTGTAAGGGTCAACCTAAAACCCTCACGGTTTTAAAACGCTATAAGGGTCAACCTAAAACCCTCACGGTTTTAAAACGCTATAGGGGTCAACCTAAAACCCTCATGGGTTTAAAATGCTATAAGGGTCAACCTAAAACCCTCACAGTTTTAAAATTCGAGGCGTTATATAACCTAACAAAAACATATTTTCCTAAAATTCGAGGTGTTACATAACCTAACAAAAAGGACCTCCACTCTAAAGAAAAAATTAAACCTAACAGATAATTACAATTATAACTTCTGCATAATCCACCATGGGGCTTCTAAGTTGAATATCTAGCAAAATTTTTGAATGCATATATTAGTTGGGTGCTTAGCAGTTAGCGGTCATAGGATTTTC